CCCCAAGCAGGCCCCGAAGCCCCCAGCCTGGGTAGGAGCGGTTGGCTAAGGCAGGTCCTGGGGCGGTCCTGTCCAAAGCGAACCCCGCCCCTGCCGCCCCTCCTCCGTCCTCCCGTCCTCCGGTCCCGCCTGCACCCGCACAGCATGGGGAGGCGCCGCTGGCGGTGGCCCCTGCTGGCAGCCACGTGTCTGGGCACAGTGCTCCTGCTCCTGGGTGCTCTTCGTCGGGGTGAGTGCAACCCTTGGGCAGCGTCCCTGCTGTCCCCTCTCCAGCTGGAGTGCAGGGTGGGGTACTGGGGTGCCCCCGCTCTCCCGGGACTGGGCTCTCAGGATCATTCCCAGGGAGACCTGCCCTTGGGGACCCTGTAGGCGGTGGGTGGTGGGTGAGGGCAGCCAGGGGCGCCGGTTCACTGCCCACTCCGTACTGCGGAGCCCTGGGTGTGGGAACGAAGCCTGGGTTCCCTTTCCAGGCTGCCCCTGCAGTGGGCCTGCCCCCAGCCCTGTGCTCCCCACTGAGCCCTGCGCTGCCCCGAGCCCTGGGCTGTCTCCCAAGCCCTGCGCTGTCTCCCTGAGTCCTTCTCTGCCCCCGAGTCCTGGGCTGTCCCCGAGTCCTGGGCTGTCCCCCAGCCCTACGCTGCCACGCTGAGCCATGTGCTGCCCCCAAATCCTGGGCTGTCTTCCTGAGCTCTGTGCTGCCCCCGAGCCCTGAGCTGTCCCCGAGCCCTGAGCTGTCCCTGAGTCCTGGGTGTCCCCCAAGCCCTGGGTTGTTCCCCCAGCCCTGCACTGCCCCCTGAGCTGTCCCTGAGTCCTGGGCTGTCCCCTGAGTCCTGGGTGTCCCCCAAGCCCTGGGCTGTCCCCCTAGCCCTGCACTGCCCCCGAGCCCTGGGCTGTCTTCCTGAGCTCTGTGCTGCCCCCGAGCCCTGTGCTGCCCCCGAGCCCTGGGCTGCCCCCAAGCCCTGGGCTGTCCCAGAGTCCTGGGCTGTCTTCCTGAGCTGACTCTGAACACTGGGCTGCCCCCCTGAGCCCTGAACTGTCCCTGAGACCTACGCCACCCCTCCGAGCCCTGCACCTCCCTCCTGGGTCACCCCCCTGATCCCTGGGCTGTCCTCCTGAGCCCTGCGCCGTCCCTCCAAGCCCTGCGCTGCCCCCCTGGGTCACTCCCCTGAGCCCTGCACCAGCCCCCCTGAGCCCTACACTGCCCAGGTCCACACCAACAAGGACCTGACGCTCCCCTGCACCCACACAGGTCTGGCCGGGAAACCAGGCAGCCAGTCATGGTCCCACGGGGCTGAGAGCCTGGCCTACTGCATGTCACCCAGTGTCACGGAGTCTCTGCTCACAGCCTCAAATCCCTATCAGGCCTTTACCCAAAGAGAGGTGGAGAGTAGCTGCTGTGCCAGGTCCCCAGGGCTGGTGGTGCCGGCCGCGGCCTGCCCGGTCTTCCTGGCTATCTGCCCACCCCAGATGTGGGCAGGACGGGGGTCTCTGCTCTGGAGCACTTGGGGACTCACAGAAGGGATCGGCGACCACGCCCCAGGGTCTGGCTGTCGGGGGGCTCGGGTCACAGAGCTGGTCCCTCTCTGTGGATGCGTCGCCAGCTCTGCCACCCCAGCCTTCTCCCATAGTTCCAACCAAGGCCCCAAGGATGGGTCTCGCCAGCCTGGATTCACCAACCTGGTCACCTGGTGCCCCTGTCCGAGCCAATCGCTGCGGCAGGGAGGGGCGGGCGCTCTGATTGGCGAGGCCTCGACCTGGCGGTTGTGGGAGCACTGTGGGCCCTGAGCGGGCAGGTGCCCTCCTGCAGGGACGTCAGCGGCCGAGCCGGGGCAGTGGCCGCCCACCAGGCCGCTGTCCACTCAGAGCTGGCACAGTGCCAGGGCCACGGACAGTGCGAGTCGGAGAGCCGGAGCGAGGGCTCCGCTTCCGCAGCGAAGGACGTGACTCTCCCACCACACGTGGGGTCCGGATTCCGCTCTCGGATTCTGCTCTCGGTGTAAATGGGAGCCCTCCCACCGCCCAGCAGGGCGTTTCAGTGGGGCTTTGGAGAGTGCATAGGAGCCTACCAGACGGGAAGTGACGAGAGGCTGCTGCAGGCAGGGTGCAGTACAGACGAGGCGCGGGAGACACCGTGTGACGGCGGGGAGCGCGGGGGAGCCACTCCGCATGCCTCACGTGGAGGTGTGCGGCCGTCGGCCTCGAAGGCCGTCTGACACTGGGCAGCACGGGCAATCAGGAGAAGAGAAGCCCGCTCCCGGCAGAACTGACCTCGGGGCAGTCGGCCACGCACTCCCACGATCCCAGCACCACGGGTGCCGTGAGTGGGGGGCTGCTGGGGGGCGGTTCCTACCGTCGGAGAGGGGACCTCTGAGTTGGGGTCCCATCAGAGTCTGTCCACCCAGGTGCAGGCCCCTGCCAAGGAATACTGCAGGTCCCGGCCCTGGGAAGGTGGGAGCCGAGGGGGAGCAGGTCCGGAGCGAGCAGAGGGTGGGGAGGCAGAGCGGACCTGGGCGCACCCTGGGACAAGCTAGGGGAGAGCTCGCAGCGCTCGGCACACGGCATTAGCACGGGAAGCGCAGTAAGGGAGCGGCATTGCCCTCGCCGCTCACCGAGGAAGGTCCCTACTTCCGGGCCCCGCCCCGTGGCCAGGCTCCGGGGCCAGCGCTGCTCCACCGCCCACTCTTGCAACACTCCAGACGGGGGGCTCGTTACAGGCAGGTGTTGCAATCCCTGAACGGTGCTCCCCAAGCCCTGCAGGGCATGCGCCCGGGGCCCGCTGAGGACAGCACCGACGGCTCTACCTGGGCGTCCACGTGGTGTCCTCCAGCACTGTCCTCCCCACCTGCCCTGCCCCCGACCTCCTGCTATTGTCTCCGTTTTCCAAGGGAAGCCCCACGAGGCTTTCTCTGGCGTCTGTCCCGCTGTGCCCTTGGCAGCGGGCCTGGGACCTGGAGGGTCCCAGGGGAGGCTCTGGGGGTGGGCGGGCCAGGAGGGTAGGAGTGATGGGGAGAGGTTGGGGGAGGCGCATGTGGCCGGGTCGGGGCTGGACCCAGGCACCCTCTCCGGGCCCTCCAGGTCAGTCGGCCCATCCACAGTCTGTGCAGCGGGCAGGGGCGGGGCTGGCAGAGGCGGCCCGGCCCTATAATCTACACTGGCCACAGCTATTCTGGGCCCCTCGGGTGGTGTCCCTTGCCCTCCACCCACTGGCCCAGGGTTGTGTTGGGGACCCTTTCTTGCAGACTGGTCTGGCCAGGACATGAGGCCCTGGCGGCAAGGCACAGTGTCTCTGGAAGCCCACGGGCTCAGTCGTGGGGGCTGGGTGGCTGTGGCACTCCTCCCCCGCCCACAGATGCCGGCAGTGGGCACCAGCTCTCCCTCCGTCCCCTGCTGTGGAGGCCCTGGGGAGACCGGGTGACCACAGCTGGAGGGACACCACTCATCTGCCAGAGGACAGGCCAGACGGCCAGCTCGCGGTGGCCAGACCTGCTGGCCCCAGCCTGGAGCCTGCCCCACTCAGGGCCCAGCTGACATGGCGGCCTCCCTGTGGGCACTTTGTGGTGACGGCGTTGCTGCCAGGGAGACAGCGTGGCTCCCACAGGGACCCCGTCTGAGCCTGGAAGGAGGTCGCGGCACTGGGGCTCTGGGGCCGCAGCGTCCTCACAGGCAGCGGTCATGGGGCCTGGCCCTGTTCTAGGAATGCAGGATGCGGCCCGGGGCAGAGGAGCCCGCAGAGAGCGGTGGGCATGTGGTGGGGTCAGGGCCAGGCCGGCCGTGCCTCTGGTCACTCAGTACTGCCCTAGGAGCCGTGGGGTCACCACCCGGAGAGCTAGCGCCTGGTGCTGCCCAGCATCTGGGGTACTGGACACAGCCAGCCTGATGGGCCCGCAGGGCTCCCCGCTGTGGGGCTAGCTGTGGTGTCCGTGAAGAGCAGGGGCAGGGAGTGAGGCAGGGCCGCCAGGCCTTCCCTCCCCAGGCCAGTGGGCTGGTCCCACCTTCCCTCCTGTCCCCCAGACAGCAGGACATCAAGGACCCTGCCTGGTGGGCGAGGAGTACTGAGTCCCAGCAGGGGTTCAGGGCGCCATGGTGGGTTGGCCGAGTCCCCAGCCCTGCTCCTCCCCCAGTGCGGCACTGACTGCTCTCCTTGTGCCCACAGTGCCCAGCAGCAGTGCCGTGGGCTCCAGCTGGCTCGGCGGGGAGAGCAGGGCGCCCCTGCAGAGATTGTACGACCTGGACCAGGTAGGGGACAGACCCGGGACGCCCCCTCCATCAGCCCAGGAGCCGAGAGCCAGGGCTGACCCGCAGTCCTGGGCAGGGCCCCAGCCAGGCTCTGCCCAGAGGGCAGCAACGAGGGCAAGGCCTGGGGCGGGGTCAGCTTCCACCATCTCCGGGCTTCTGGGGAGCCCCCGGCCCGCCCCGCTAGAGAAGCCTGTGCGCTGGGCATCTGGCGGCCAGAGAGAGCGTGATAAAAATGACCAGGCCAGTGCATGCTGGGCTGGGCCTGGCACTCGGGTGCAGCTGCCCCTGTCACCCGGTCTTTGGGCAGGAAGTGGGTGGCCCCCGCTCAGGCACTGCTACTCAGAGAGGCGCTGGCTGCTCTCCATGGCAGCTGCCCCCTCCGTCCCCAGGTGCCACACGCTTGCATCGTCACCGATACTGTCACTGCCCTTTCCTTAAATCCTGAAGGGTTTTGATGCAATTTTAAGAAATTAAACACTTCTTAAAAGAGGTTTTTGCCTTAGGGGAGAGAGACAGAGACATTGAGAGGGAAAATGAGAAATCGCACCCCAGGTGGATGGCCACGCCACAATCCCTTCGTCTCCATCCTCCTCTCGGGATCTCAGACACACATGCACATGCACCCGGTGTGTTTCAAGACTCCAACCGTAGTTGGCCCTGTGGGAGTCCAGCTACAGAACCATGATGCCGTCTGCTGGTCCCTAAAACACTGTCTTTTAAGAACTCAGACACGATGGACCAGCAGTTGGCATAATGGCTATGTCGCTGGACTCCCATGTAGTCGACCGCGGTTCGCATCCCGGCCCTGGTGGCTTAAACTCATGCCGGGCACATGTGCGTGTGTGCCCAAGATCCCGAGAGGAGAATGGAGGAGAAAGGATTGTGGCGTGGCCATCCCCCCGGAGGGTGATTTCTCGCTTTCTGTCTCTCTGTCTCTCTCTGCTTTCTGGCAAGTGCACAGGCGCCCTATAGCAAAAACCTCTCAAAAACAAACAAAAAAACAACTCAGACACAAATCCCACAGGAGGGGGCAGAGGTGCGTCCTGGGGAGGCGACCGCTGTCTAGGGCGGATGGGGCGTGAGGAGAGCGGGGCGCAGTCTGGGGCACTGCAGGGTCCTGGGTGGCAGCCAGCGCTGGCTCCGGCCCTCCCATGGACCCCTCTCGGGACGGTGCAGCGCTCAGCCTGGCAGCGGTGAACACCAGGGAGACCAGCTGCTGCTCCTAGCGCCCACTCCCGCTGGCGGGCCTCCTGCCTGGCCCTGAGATTAGAATCTGGAGAGAAAAAGAAAGCAGGACCACAGGGGCGGCATGTGGGGGGGAGTTCCCCACCTGGATCCTGGGGACCAAGGGCAGGCTCAGGCCCTGGGCTGGGGAGCAGCTGTCCCTCCTCTGAGCAGGGCACCTAGCCTGGATCAGTCACATCCTCCTCCCCACCTCAGCAGGGTCAGAGCCCATTCCCCGCAGATCGAGACCCGGACAGGTCCCCAGGCCAGCGCCGCTCAGATGGGTGGCAGCTCGGGGTGGGTACCCTGGAGCCCCGCGCAGCCCCTGCCTGAGTCCTTGGGCACTCCCAGGGTGGCCGAGCTTGCCACCTGTAGCCCTGAGTGTGTCCACTGCCACTGTCGCCCCACAGGACCCCCGCTCGCCCCTGGTGCAGGAGCACCGCCAGCGGCGTGGCCCGCTGCGCCGGGTCTGCACTCTACACGCGGCGACAGCGGCTGCTGCAGCCCGAGGACCTGCAGCACGTGCTGGTGGACGACGTGCACGGCCTGCTCTACTGCTACGTGCCCAAGGTGGCCTGTACCA